AATTATGTTCGGATTTAACCATACTTTAAAGATCCTTTGTGTTCCTATGTCTATTGCACTGAAAGAGCAAATGAAAAATATTGTAAGAATATATAAAAATATTACAAAAATAAAAGTATCATTATTATTACCATTCTATTGATTTAGGTAATTTACAATCCAGATTTATCAGTGAATTTATTCGCATACCCAGCGTGACATCTTTCAATAAAAAGTTTAGCAATATTATAATAAATTCAAACAAATGTACATAAATTTTATAAACATTTAAATATTTCTAAATTAAAATACCATATATTACATCCAATGGACAGCGAAAGACGTAATGGAAACCGTCTAATTCTTTTCCACCTAAAGTTTCCAATTTTTCTATTAATACGATAGAATGTTAAATGAATATATCCATATGTGACTTTACATTTTTTATAAGGAACTTTGATTTAAAGCTTTTCGATGTGGATTCCATAATTAAAATCACATCAAAAAGAAAGCAAGTATGCTTTAATTTACATATTTTATATATTACTTTAATTTACATATTTTATTTAATTTGTTTGTTTTTACATATATGTATATAAGAAAAAAGTAAAAGAGAGAAGATGTTGTACATATTCATATAATAAATTCATTTGTATGTGTATATAAAGAAGCAAAAATATTTTCTTGTTCAATTTTATAAGATTTAATGTTACAAAAAAGGATACATTTTATAGTACATATTTAATATAATTATTCATGTAATATTAAACAATGTAGAAGATATGTATTTCACAGTAATATTTAGACTATTGAGTACACTATTTCGAAAAAAAAATAAGACTACAAAAAAAAAATATTATAAAATTATTAAGAATTATTAATATAACGCTAACAGATCTTACCTTGATATATTCAGGATTGTCCACCATTACAAGTAATTTCGTTCCTATCCATACACGGCACAATAATTGATAATTCTTACCAAGATTTAGTATTTGGTTAAATACAGCTAGAATAGGGATTATAAATAAATATCGGATAAAATACTTAAATATAAAAAATTAATAATACAAATTTACCTTGTATACGAATAAACAAATGAGCATTTCCAATAATTGGAAATGCTTTTGGACCAGAGATTCCTTTGATCTTATTAATCACGTGTAATTTATTTTAAAAAGTGTTGTACTATTTCATAGAAAAGTCCAGATAAAATTGTTATGATAATAATTAATATTACGGTGAAATCTATGATTAACTTAATCAATTGGAATATATGGAAACTACTTAAATAAAATAAAAATAATTTTATAATCGTAATAATTTTTGAGATTTACAGATAATTTGATAGCACCGCACAACGACTCCTACTATACTTCTATTCTAACAGAAAGTTAGAACGAAAGAGGAAAGCATAAAATACCAACCTTTATAAGTAATTAAGTAATAATTCCCTATTACTTATATTATATAATAATATAAGTTAATTTCCTCTTAAGTTCTTTTCTTTTTCGACAGTCTTGTAACAATTTCTTCTAAATCCTTTACATTAATCATTACAAAGTTCTCTATATTAATCCCTATATTTTCAGTAATATGCATAATTCTTCTAGTTGTGCCATTCGACTTGTCATTATTTACAGATTTTACTATATTACTTATACTTTTTACACATGTTACATGTCTCACTAGGCACGGGCATTAACAAGCTAATTTCCTAAGGAGTTCCGGCTTTCGTGATATCTAGTGCCTTTTCGGCCGTTACCTGCCTGGGCAGTTTTTTTGGCTTGGAATTGGCACCAAACAGTGTCGAAGCGACGTTGCAAACGCTCTCTTACCCCTTGGGAGAGTGATTCCAGACGATGCTGAAGCCTTATCTCCAAATACCTCGGAGTCCTAGGATTCAAGACTGGAAGGTCCAGTGGGGGAATTCACCTTCTGGATGGCAGCAAGGGGATCAGGCGGTATGGTGGAAGGTTCTCTTTCTTCTCTTCCATGGGCTCGACACTCAGTGCGTCGTTGTAATTTTTCGTTTCGTGATAGAATTCCTTTAATAAGCGACGCAATTGGTACTGCTTATCACCACGACGTACTTTAGGCATAAAGAAGGAAGACACTCGCGGAAAGAGCGGTTAGTTGGTAGTAAAAAAAGAGGAAAGAGAATAAATCGTCGTTCGTGCGGAGACTCTTCACCGAAACGGCAATTTGTTTGGGGAAAATGCCCGTGCGTTTCGTCCTCACCGAAGCAACAAAGTTGCTTGTGTGGAAGATACTCACCAAGAGCAATGAGGATGAGTAAGTAGGTTAATAGGATTTTTACCTGCGCAGTAAGGGATAAACAAATTGCACTGTCGCGTTTGAATTAGTCTACTGCGTCGCGAATACTAGCTCCCGATTTAGAGATATGCGTGAGTAAAGGATCCGCTACGAACACAATCGGGGTCAGTGACTTGAAACGTTTTAAAAACAAAACTTTTATTTAAGAATAACTAAATGTAAATGTACACGTGCAGATGTAAACTCTAAATTTAATAGATGTGCGTGATTCGTCTCTATTCTCGCTGGAAATGTGTACTCATCGAAAAATCCGGAGCAATAATCATGGAGGAGAGTTGTGCAGTCGCTTGTATTTCCAGCCAATCAGCGTTCGGCAGCACTCGATGAGTTCTCACTGGCCCGCTGCTGTCCCAATCGGAGGTGGTATGGTGGATTCAATCAAGTAAGTGGGGAGCACTGCAAACGCTGAGGCTCAGCGGGTGGGACCTTGGCGAGCCGTAAGTATGGTCGGTCGGGCAGGGAGGACGACGGAGATTTCTGAGACTAAACGTTTTCCTTCAGTTTTCTAAACCATGTGTTTTACATTATCTTAAATACTTCAGCATTTTTACAGAGAGTTTAGAAAATTCTCGGGTATTGTTTCGCTTCCTACGTGCGTAATTGTTTGTGACCGGACCGTCCCATGTACCTACGTATTAAGCGCAAGTGCGTTTTTAGAATTTATGTTTTTCTTATAACATTTATATGCTCCGTGCGTTCAATACTCAGGTAAAGCTGTCCCTTATGTTTACATTAGTTACAATATTTCGTGTATATATAATAAGTTCTAGCCTATGAATTATTGTACTTATTAGAATGTATGCCCTTCTTCCTTAATATATGTTTGTAATGTCGGAATAAATGAGATTATAAAGGTCTTAAAGCTAAGTAATGTTTTAAATTTAATTTTATTTTTTACTGATTTTCGTCGTGCGACGTAACACATAGTATATACTAAATTTATCAGCTATGTTATATCCTTTATTCTTGCCTAAAATCTCGAGTAATCAAAGTATGAAAAATAATAACAGTATGTATAAAAAGGATTGCTCATTTAATTGCTAGTTGCGATGGGAGGAGGAAACCATTCCCGTGATAGTCAGTGTTTCCCTGATTGTCCCAAGAGGATGGGCGGCCTTCCGGACCTTCGCTAGGCGGTTCATGCGTGCAAAGGAGGAGGAACCTGTGAGGCACAGGGAACGGACCCGAGAAGAAGGATGTGTGAGTGAGCGTGCGGTTGTGTATGTGGACAGGAGTCCGAACGATAGACCGCATAGGGGAGTAGCTCCAGTGCGGCCACCTTAGGCAAGGCTCCGAGCGGCTCAGGCGGCGCCTGGCTCACGCGTCGCTTCCCTCTAAGTGTGAGTGTGTGTATATGGGCGTGAATGGGCCTGCTTAGAACATCATGGGGTAGGGATCGGACCAATATGTATATACTTAGGGAGTAATTGCGTCTTGCGTCAGGGGGCTCGTGGGACCCTGTCGCATGCGCCGTATTGATGTGAATGGAGTGAATGAATGAGAGCAAGGCGAATACCAGCCTGGCTCACCAATGAGGGGTACTGGGCGAATTTGTAATACGCATACGCGCGATACCACCCACTCCCTCACTCCTCAGCGTGATAGTAATAAGGATCGGGAGGTTTCTTAGACGGTAGGCGATCCAAACCTGAGAGTATTCTCAGGCGGCTTGAATCCGACACTCCCCTGAGTACCGGGATTAGGGGGCCTCTGAAAGTTTTTCCTTCTGACGAAACAAAAAAAAAAAGGACTCGTAATCAGAGGTTCCGAGAAAGGAGACAACTAGATATCCAAGATCGAATATTATTTACTTAATTGCCATAAAATTAATATGCTACTCTTATGTATGTCCCATTTTCCTTGTTTTCATACACTTATTTCATGTCATTCTCTTTTTTCTCTCTCCTTCTCTAACAACCATCAACCGAGCGATGAAAATCCTACGTTGTCGTACTCATATCAGAAAAATTTTATAAACTGTTGAGGATTCCCGCTAAAGATCTTTTTAATAGGCCGTTATACAGTATGGGATAAATACAGGACGAGATTTATTTTACAGAAGGATTCTATTGTATCGGTCCCGATATATAAGAAATTATCTCGTTGAACCTATCCTACTAAAATATTGGTACTTTATAGGGCTAATATAATACTAAGATGTCACCAATCTCGTCGTACTTGGTAGAATAATATTTTAATATTTCATTACGAAATGAATAATTGAATTCCTCTTTCAATCACTGTTTGTTTACCTCGTTAGACTTTGATCAATCCAATATTTCTAAGCCGATCAGAAGAAATTTAGTACATTGCCTTATAACATACCGTCCATAAGGAAAAGGTTAATTAAAAGAACATTACAGAGAAGAAAACCTATGAGGATATATTTTTGTGATATTACTAGAAAAACAATAATTTATATAAACTTTGAATATAGCAATAATAAGGATCTTCAAGGTGTATATTAATACATATACATGATATAAAGTTATATGAAATGATAAGTAGACGGTTTTTATTTTATACAGATAATAATTTGATTCTACTACAGATTGTATGCTATTATTCATAGAATTCGTTATGAATAAATATATTAATTATGTATTATATATATATATATATTCATATATATATATATATATAATACTATATATATATATATATATTATATATATATATATTATATATATATATATATTCATGCATCTATATTCTATGTTTTGATTAATTTCTTCTTTCAAATTTTAATCTTATTGGTTTCGTCGGAGTTAATGTGATGCTGAACTTTACGTCTATTTCTGCAATTTCAATTGGCTTGTCTATTATAACTCTAAATCTTTTTAGCAGTGTAGCTATTACTGTTATGATCTCCAGCATAGCGAATTGTTGACCTAAAAAAATAAAATCAATTGTAAATGCATTTTATTTTGAAATTTTCTGGAATATACTTAAAAATAATCTATAGGAGTATGTAATTACCTATGCAATTTCTTTTTCCGTAACTAAATGGAAAGAAATACGAAGAAGAATTATTTTCCGGTAGGAACCTGTCAGGATCAAATACTAATGGTCGTGGCCAATATTTCGCATTTCTATGTATTTTATATATAAAAAATACTGCTGAACATCCTTTCGGTATTGTCCAATTTGAAGTAACTTAATATAATTAATAAATAAATATTAGTACTACATAATACGTTCATATTATTAATAATGAAATATAAAACGTAAAACAATGAAAAGATGTGTATAAAATTATTTTGAATGCAGAGCTACCTTTTATATCTTGCGTCACTTTCCGGGCGATGATTGGAATAATAGGAAATAAACGTAACGTTTCCTTGATCACACGTTCCAAAAGTTTCATACTTTTAATATCATCATATGTCATTGAAACATTTTTTGAATCGTCCGAGCAATAAATTCGATTAACTTCCTCATATACATTGTCCTTTGTGATCAAAGATTTGGAAGACATGATAAGAAATTAATATGAATATATGAATATAATTTATGTCAGATACGTGATTTTTATTAAGTGAAATTATTAAGAGAATGTTATGTATAAGTACTTGAATTTCTGGCAATGAAGCAAGCATTAAGAGGACAAAGCTAATGGTTGTGGCTGTAGTTTCGCTTCCCTGAAAGTAATATACAGTTTTCCTTAATTGTCATTAATAAAAAAAATGTTATTGCAATTAAAAATAATAAATACGACTTACAGCTGTAATTATTGTATTAATTTCATCGCGGATATCTTCCTGCGTATATCCTTCTTCTTCGTTCGATATCTCGAATAAAAAATCGAAAATTGTCTTCCGTTTTTGTCCTTAAAATTGAACAAGATCCTATCATTAATAAATGACAAGATAGAAAATTAAATTTTATTAAAGGCATATTGTTTATTTTTACCTAACTTTTCCGTCGTCAATTCTTGATTAATTTTACTTTTTAACATAGATCCCATTTTTTCTTTGATTATCTTTAGGAACAAAAAATATTGATATGCGTAGAAAATATTATATTAAAATTTTTGAATTTTGAAAAGAATGGAATTGAAAAAATATTTGCTTTAATGATACCTTGGTTGTTACGTTATCCAGGTAAGCCTTGCACGCCAGAAATTTCTTTCCTACAGCAGTGTTATAAAATATAATATTCGGATGTAACCATAATTTAAAGATTCTTTGTGTTACTATATCCATCGCACTGAAAGTGCACACAAAAAATGTTAAAAATATACATAATATATTACAAAAATAAAAGTATCGTTAGTACTACCATTTTATTGATTCAGCTAATTTACAATCCGGATTTGTCAGCGAATTTAGTTGCGTATTCAGCGTGGCATCTTTAAACATGAAATTTTGCAAAATTATAGTAAATTCAAACAAATGTACATAAATTTTATAAACATTAAAAGTTTCTAAATTAAAATACCACATATTATATCTAAAGAACAACGCAAGACATAATCAAAAATGTCTAATTCTTCTCCAACAAGAGTTTCTAATTTTTCCATTAATTCGACAGAATGATTAACAAATACATCCATATATGACTCTATATTTTTCATAAGGAACATTTTATTTAGAACTTTTCGATGTGAATCCCATACTGATGCTAAAATCAAATCAAAAAGAAAGCAATTAGTGTTTAATTTACATATTTCACTTATTTTACAAAAAATACTTATTACTTTAATTTACATATTTTATTTAATTTATACGTCTATACGTACATGTTTATAATAAAAGAGTAAATGAGAAAATATCTTGTACATATTCATATAATACTTTCATTTGTATGTATTTCATTTGTAAGTATAGAAGCAAAAATTTTTTACTATTCAATTTCATAAGACTAAATGATATAAAAAAGAATATATGATAATATATACTTAATATAATTATTTTTGTACTAGTAAACAATGTGGAAGATATATACTTCACCTGGAGCAGTTAACAATCCATTGCCCAAAGAAACTTTCAATTTTTCATATTCCTTGCTCTTATCAATAATATATGGACTTTTTAGTAAAGTCTTCCGTATTTAAAAAAAAAGAAAAAAATACAAAATGAAAAGATTATGATATCATTAAGAATTATTAAAATAACACTAACAGAACTTACCTTGACATATTCAGGATTCTCTATTATTAAAAATAATTTCGCGCCTATCCACATACGCCACAATAATTGATAATTCTTACCAATATTTAGCATTTGTTTGAATAGAGCTAGAATAGAGATTATAAATAATTATTGTATGAAATACTTAAATATAAAAGAATTAATGATATAAATTTACCGGTTGTGTCGCCAGTAAATAGATGAGCATTCCCAATTATAGGAAATGCTTTTGGTCCAGGAATTCCTTTCGTAATATTAAACATATGTAATTTATTTAAAAAATATTCTGCTATTCCAAAGTATAGTTCAAATAAAATTGTTAGAATACTAATTAATATTACAGTGAAATACATGATGAATTCTTTCAATAAGAATATATATAAACAACTTAAATATAATTGAAAATAATCTTATATCCCTAATAATAATTGTTGAGATTTACGGATAATTTGATAGCATCGCGCAACGACTCTTACTACACTTCTGTCCTCACAGAAACTGAGGATGGAATAGAAAAGCGAGGAATATTTAAAGAAAGCAGAAATCTGACTTTGCTCACGTGATTACCACTTACATCTGGCACTCCCCTTTTGATACTGGAAAATCTAGAAGAATGCATTTTTAAGTTTTTACTAATCTTTAAGAAAATTAATTTATAAGAATTTAGAAATAAGTATGAACTTCAATGTCTTTATCTATCGATCATTTATTGTATAGAATGTTATGAAATAATCAGATACTTTCGTGGCTTTTTTCAATTCTTATTTTATACTATAAAGACATTACGTAAAATGAAACACTTCCTCTTCTGCTATGTATCGTAAATTACTGTCGTCATACATGCCACGATTTATTCCATGTAGATGTATTCTTCTATTTATGATATTTTTTTTCTTATTATTACTATAGTGATAGTAGTAGGAGCTGAAGTAATATAAAGCGAACTCACACAGAAGAAAGCATAACGAAATAACACTAGGAGAAAAATCTCGTAGATAATGTGGAAAAGACCTTGAATTTTGATCCTTATTAAAAATAATATATAATGAATACGTCCACTAATATATGATATATGTATTCATTAATTCTGAAAAGTAATCGACAAATGTATATACTTTATATTCATATCTAATCTAACAAAATTATACTGTTGCTGTATCACGGATCACCGCGAAATTCTCATGAATAATTAGTAGAAGAAATATAGATAAGAGATTGAATATTAACAATTTACTAAATTATCAGATAAGGAGAAGTGGAGAGTAAATTAGTTGATTAGCTTTGTTAGAATCGAACGTAGGATTTCTCGTATTACTAATCTAAATGCAAGCAAATGTACGACACATTGCTTACATAATCTCTATATTTTTATTCTATAAATATAATGAAGAACTACAAACATCAGAGTAATACATTTTTTCATCGAAAAATATCAAAAACAACATTTACGCCGTCAATGACGACAGATGTAATTCTTGAACAATAGAAAAATGGTGTCATTTTAAGGACGAAGACTTCATCCAATGTATTGAATTTTCGAAAAATTATCTTCGAAAGAAATCGTGTAAAGTATGTTATTTTTATTCGAGCATAATTTATGCATAAATTAAAAGTTCTTTCAAAAATTCGAGAAAGATATGCAGTAAACTCGATTTGAAATTGAGAACGTGATCGTCAAAATTGGTCAAGAATTATGCCTGTTCTCATGATGGCGTAAATCATTAAGAAATCCGGGTCAATGTCCTAGACTTACTGGCTGCGATGACATTACACTAGCCGCTAGGCTTGGAATTTGTCGGTTTTTTCTGCAAAATTAATTGTTTATATTACCGTGTTCCCGGAAATTAATGGAATATCGCAATGTCTTTTATGGATCTAGGAAAACTCGTGAGAAAGATACGCGATATAGAGCATTAAGTCAATTTAAATCTGTAAGGATGTAATTAAAGTATAAAGATAAAAAAATTGCGATATTCACGTTTCGTTATTGTGTATCGGTAATTATCCTAGTAAAACTCGGTTATCTTATTACTATTAGCTTTAAATGTACAAGTTAACTAAAATGGCAGTTTTTTGTCGAACTATCCGTGAAGATGATTAGAACGTGCACGGAAAGAAAAAGAATGATGTTGATTGATCCTGGTGTATCAGATTATACCGCTCGAAATGCTTAAATTCGATTGTATGTAAACGGTGTGAAGCTGAATAACCTCCGCACTGCTATATAGAAATTAATCTCATCTTTTAAAATTGAGCTTTGTTCATTTAAATCAGATGGAAACGTTCATTAACAATGTTTTTAATTATTATTAAATGAGAAAAATTTTATTGAGATAATTATAATAGATATTTGGGAATAAGACATTATTATTTTTTGAAAGATATTCATTTTTCTCAGTTATCTGTTTATTCTATTTGTAGATAGTATCGAATCATTTCTTGTCGTCAAGGTTGTCACTTTTTCTTTTTCTTTCTATATTTCACAATAATCATAGAAGGAGGCGCACATTATTGAATATTCATAAATACGAGCGACGAGTCAGATTTTTTTCGATATTTTCCTACTTTTTCAAAATTTATTTTCTGGTCTCTTATATTGCCCGGTCTTTGCCTACTGCTTTCCTATATGAACATAACGAGTGCATTACATAATCTATAGAGTTGTTATATTATCCTTTTTGTAAATTTAGATTATCTAAAAGTCCGGTTAGTATGACTTTTGGGACGGTGAAGAATAATCGGACATTCGAATTGGAGAATTGTTAACGTAATTAGAAATTTTTTTATAATACATTCTGGATTAATAGAATAGCATTGAGTAATGTATTATTATATGAGCTTATTTATCTGCGCTGTAAGTGATGGAATTATCGAAACGTCTAATTTCTTCATTGAATCTTGAAACGTTGAAATACTTCTTTAAATCGTCGAGAAACTGTTAATGAATAGAGAAGTCACAGTGTGTAAAAGTGACTAAAAGTCACAGTGACTAAAATGGCAGTTTTTTGTCGAACTATCCGTGAAGATGATTAGAACGTGCACGGAAAGGAAAAGAATGATGCTGATTGATCCTGGTGTATCAGATTATACCGCTCGAAATGGTTAAATTCGATTGTATGGAAACTGAATAACCTCCGCACTGCTATATAGAAATCAATCTTATCTTTTAAAATTGTACTTTGTTCATTCAAATCAGATGGAAACGTTCATAAACTATTTTTTTTAATATTATTAAATCACATATATTTTGTTGAGATAGTTATAATAAACATTTCTACATAGTGTAAATAAGATTTTATTATCTCTTAAATGACATTCATTTCTTCTCAGTTATCGCTTTATTTTATTTTTAGAAAATATCGGATCATTTCTTGTCGTGAAGGTTATCTCTTTCTCTTTCTCCTTCTATATTTCTCATTAAACATACAAGGAGAACGCATACAGGCACGAATTATTGAATATTCATAACTACGAACAACCGAGTCAGATTTCTTTCGACAATATTTTGCAACATTTGCAAAATTTATTTTCTTGTCTTTTATATTGCATGACCTTTGTCAACTTTCTTACCTATATGACAATAATGTGTGAATTAACATAATCTATGGAGTAGAGGCAGTTTTTCAAGCTGTGATCAAGATTGTTATATTATTCGTTTTTTAAATTTAGTTTTTCTAAAAAACAAGTTATTATGACTTTCAAGACGATGAAGAATGATCGGACGTTCGAATTGGAGAGTTGATAACGTAATTAGAAATTTTTTTATAATACATTCTGAATGAATAGAAAAACATTGAATAAGGTATTATTGTATGAGCTTATTTATCTGCGCTGTAAGTGACGGAAGTATCGAAGCGTCTAATTTTTTCATTGAATCTTGAAACTGTTAACGATTAGGGGAGTCAAAGTGTCATTTAAATATTGAATTATTTGAAGAAAGAAGCGTGGATAATTGTATAATTAAAACAGAATGGAAGAACCGTCGAAAAAAATTTCCACAAAAAATTGGCTTAAATATATGTAATATTTAATAAAATGGAAAGTAATAATTGAGCCGTTTATTTTGAAAGTGACCTAAGTCCATTTATCTTCAAATCGAGATATTTAAGGGTTTGCGTTTCAATGAATTTAAAAATATACGTATAGGATACTATCGAGTCATACTGCATAAGTGTATCTAAGGGTATTAAATTAATAGTTCCTATTAATATAGTGGCAATTATTAAGTGAATAATATGCGTTTTCTTATCAAGAATGGAGTTAGGCCACTTTTAAAATTAACAACCAGATTCATTATAAAATTTGAATTATTCCACGACGATGAATGCTACCTTTCCATTTTAATTACAAATAATCGAGATAATAAAGAAAAGTATAATCTCAGATTAATCGAAATATTATTAATTTTTTAGTCAAACTGTTAATTAGGTATCATCACTGAAAATTTTACCGACCGCAGATAGATAATTTCTGTTTGTATAACGTCAGGCGTATATTCGGCGGATATGTTATCAAGATTTCAATTCAAGTAATTCACTATTCTTTACTAAATGTAGTATTTTCAATAAGTAGTTAAGATAGACTTCTGTTTTATCAATATCAGATAATGCTACTTATTTATATTGTGATGTCAACAGTTGAGTTTTTAATGGCTGTAGAGTAATCGAAGTGCCTGCAACCTACGAAATACACCAATCTAATCATGCGGCTCTTTTTCGGTCAATCCATTTGGAATCTTACACGGGAGCAAGGATCTTTTTTCCTCTTCTTCCTTCACGATCAGTCAAAACAGCGCCAGGAAAGATTTTCTTTAACTTAGTTATTCAACGAAATGATGAGAGAGGCTCCGAATATCATTTCTCGCGTATATATTTCTTTCGAGGGTCCCTACTGCTGACCCTTGAATTGGTTTCCTCTTGTTGATAGAAGTTTACAATGAATGACAAGATTATAAGTCTTAATTAACTTAATTGCTAATTATGAAGAACTGTGCTTAGCGATTGATTGCAACGAAGTGATCTTAACGACTGACTGGAATGAAGTGATCTTGACCGGCTGCAACGAACTGATGATAACGGCTGCGATAAATTTATCTAGACGATTGCGGATGTTAAAGTTTTGACGATGAAGTATTTTCTGCACGTACTTCGACTGCACGCGCCCCCTTGCACGAGTCGTTCATTTGCGTTTTCCTGTCGTCAAAGACTATAAGCCATTGCGTTACGTTGTTTCTGCAAGTACCTCCTTGGTCAGTTTTATCTCTGCACGTGTGGCTCTTGGGTGCGCTCCGATGCCAAGAGTGAAAGAGGTATGACGTATTTGCATTCCTGCACGTACTTCATGTCCTCCTTTGCCTTCTCGTATTTCTTTACTACGTGTCTTATAGATAGTTCTAATTTATTTATTAACTACAAGCTTTAAATGATTATTCTTATGGGAAGGATAGAGGGGAAACAAATGAAAAATGGTATCGCTCTACAAGCACACGTATTCATGCTTATAAGGGTTTCTCTTCTTTAAGGTGTCTTTCATAGTTTCTGGTTGACCTACACACGAAGACGTGACACCTGTCCCCTTAAGTAAATCGCTCGGAGTTCGGTGCTTCGGTGACTTAGTACCCCGTATTGCAATTGTTTTCTCGAGGATAGGGTAATTTACCGATGTCCCTACGGCGGGGGTTGGAGTCGCAACGCTACCTTCTGCTAGCATTGGTTTTCATATTTGACACTTACTTAAAAACTTACTGGTTTTGTTGTCGTTCATAACCTTGTCCTTGTGGCTCCTCGGTGGTTGTTGTCGTAAAAGCAGATGTATCAATGAACTCCAGATTGCACCTAGCTGGTGTAAATTCCAACCATACCGTGAGTGGACCACGTATCCTCGGATAACCGAATCAACAGAAATTTTAATGCCCTTTGTTATTATAAATAGTCGAATAACACCGGCACTCGCTGATCGGAACACTAAACATCCTTGCCAAAATTTCGAGAGGGTGTTCTCGGTTATTTTAATGAGATCACCTTCTCGTAGTAGATTGTAGAATGAGATGGTGTTTGGAACATAGTGTCCATTTGCTCCTCTCGTTATATTATTTAGAAGACTAGGTCTTCCTACTGAGAACATGTTGTGATCCCTTAGGATCTTCAGGTCTTGCTGGGAGTAGATTCCACTCGTCATCAAGTGGTGCATATAGCCAGGAACGAAATTATTTGTAATCGGAGGCAATCCCGAATATATCAAAGTAAGATATATTAACGTTATTTTAATAATTTTTAATAATTATATAATCTTTTTATTTTATATTTTTATTTTTTATCGGATGACTGTACTCAATAGTCCAAATATTATTGATAAGAGCGAGGAATATGAAAACTTTAAACCTTTTGTGGGCAATGGTTTGTTAACTGCTCCAGATTAAATATATTTTCTACATTGTTTATTAATATACTTAAATATATATATATATATAATATTAAATTTTAGAAAATTGTACAGTAAAAATTTTTGCTCCTTTATATGCACATTCTAATAAATGTGTTATATGTATGTCTAGACGAATAAAATAAGTGAAGTATGTAAAGTAAAGTATTGCTTTCCTTTTGATTTTAAGCTTCATTATAGAATCGTCATCGAAAAATTTTAAAAGACGTCTTTCTTTTCAAACATACAAAATCGCATATGGATGTATTCAATAATCATTCTATCGTTTTAATAAAAAAATTGGAAACTTTAGTTGGAGGAGAATTAGACGTTTTCCATTATATTTATGGCTCTACATTGGATATAATATGTGGTAGAATTTAAAAATTTTTATACGTGTATATAATTGACGTTTTTGTTTAAAGTTTATTATAATTTTGTTAAACTTTTTATTGGAAGACGGCATGCTGGGTAAGAAAATAAATTCGCTGACAAATCCGGATTGCAAATTACATGAATTAATAGAATGGTAATAGTAATGGAACTTTTATTTTTGTAATGTATTGTATGTTTTTCGTCTGTTTTTTCAATGGAATGGAAATAGCTGCACAGAGGATCTTCAAATTACGGTTACATCCGAATATAATTTTTTATACCACTGCTATAGCAAAGAAATATGTCTTTGTCTTATCTGGATAACTTTACAAAAAAAGTAATTTATATTGATAAGTAAAATTAGTCGCGAATTGACGGAGGGAAATTTAGGTAAAAATATGAAATATACGTTTAATAAAATTTAATTTTCAATCTTTTCATTTATTAATGATATTAATGAGATTCTTGTTCATTTTTCAAAAACCAAAGTTAAGGACACTTCTAGATTTTTTATTTGAATTGTCGCACGAAAGAGGAAAATATTCGGAGCAAGATATCCGCGATAAAAGGAATACAATAATTATAGCTGTAAGTCGTATTTATTATTTAGTTGTAATAAAAATTTGTTTATTAAAGAAAATTAAAAAAATCTGTATATTGCTTTCAGGAAAGCGAAACGACACCCACAATCATTAGCTTTGTACTTTTAATGCTTGCTACATTTCCGGATATTCAATTTCTTAATATCTCCGTATAATACATTTTCTTAATAATTTATCATTACGTATCCGACGAAAATTATATTCATATTAACTTCTTATCCTGTCTTTTACATATTCGATCACAAAGTAAAAAGTATATGAGGAACTAAATCAAATTTACTGCTTGGACGATCCGAAACGTGTTCCAATAACATATAATGATACTAAAAGTATGAAACTTTTGAAACGTGTGATCAAGGAAACGTTACGTCTTCGCATATCCAGTCATCGCCCGGAGAGTGAAGCAAGATATAGAAGGTACCTCTTCATACAAAATGATTTGTTTTATGTTTTTTATCATTAATACTATGAATATATTATATAGTAATAATATTTTTTATTAATCGTATTAAATGAGAGAAGGTTGGACAATATCGAAAGGTAGTTCAGCAGTGTTTCTCATTTATAAACTTCCTAGAAGCGCAAAATATTGGCCATGGCCATTAATATTCGATCCCGATAGGTTCCTATCGGGAAAGAATTGTTCTACATATTTCTTTCCATTTAGTTACGGTCGAAGAAATTGCATAGGTAATTACATACTCCAATAGATTATTTTTAAGTATATTCCAGAAAGTTCCAAAATAAAATGCATTTACAATTGATTTTATTTTTTAGGTCAAAATTTTACTATGCTAAATATGACAATAATCATCGCTACGCTGATTAAAAGATTTTTAGTTAAAATAAATAATCTAATAGAAATTGCAGAAATAGGTTTAAAGATAAGCCTCATATTAAAACCGGCAAAACCAATAAGATTAAAGTTTGAAAGAAGAAATTACTTAAAACATATAATATATATACATAACGAATTCTGTGAAGTGTAGTATAGAATCAGTAGCAGAAACAAATTATTATCTATATAAAATAAAAAGTGTAGAAAAACCGTTCACTAATTATTTCATGTAATTTGATATAATGAATAAATAATTAATAGATTCCTCGAATGTCATTCTTACTTATTTCGAAATTCTAATAAATTAATATTTTAATACATTCTCTCTCTCTCTCTCTCTCTCTCTCTCTCTCTCTCTCTCTCGCTCTCTCTTTCTCATAAATCAGAATACTCGACTGTCACATGTAGAGTCTTATCATGCGATGAAACTAGATAAGGTAAATAATCTATTTTGTTTAAAAATTCCCATCTACAAATTATAAAATATAATGATAAATTACTTCTTGTATGAAATAAGGTAATTAATTTTTCATAGGCCGTTCAACCAGACGAATCGAGTGATATTATTCAATGCACGCGACGGGAAAGTGATCGAGTGAAGAGTGAATTCATAAATTTCAGTTTTTTGATTCAGTCTTAAAAATAATCTTATCCATCAAACAATTACGCTATTCATTACATTTCACTCTTAACGTGTGTGATTTCAGCGATAGGACAAAATATGGACTACAAAACAAGCGAGAAACGCTGTCTCCACGTTGCGTCTATATAAGCTTGATTATTTCCCTCTCTACTCCAGCGACCTCTTCCTATTGTAGAGAAAGAAAGAAAGAGAGAGAGGGATTGAGATAGTGGGAATGAGACAGAGAAAGAGAAAGAGATAGAATGCATAACTTATCAAGTATGCAAGCAAAATACATTCTTTTTTATCTGATTCGGCCGAGGCTGCATATATAATAGTTGCGTCATACACAACGGAAGTTCATAAAAAAACTATATCATGTAAATTTTGGTATTCTAATCCTATATACATATCCTTCCTTTTAATTCTCATTCTATTTCATATCATCCTTTCCCTCCCTCTCTCTCACATTCTTAGCAGGAATTTGTTAATATTATTCATGAATATCAGTTAAAGTATTAGATTTACATGGAGTTATGTAAATTCTTGCAGGAATACTTTATTTATTCACGAGATTGTTTCCAAATGATTCCGCTAAAGAGCCTTTAGAAAATAAAGAATAAATAGAAGATGAGATTTTTTAAATGCTAAAATGATCATTTTGTTAAATTAATCTTTTCTTTAGGTATTTAATGAAAGACATGTTATAACAATTAAATAGAAACTATACAAGTAATGCCTTTTCATCGTATTTAACAATATTAAGGAGAATAAAATTCACTCGTTAATTATACATTATATACAAGTTTTACTCGCTGTTATCATCCTTAGTGTTCTATATAGATAATCATTTTTTTAACTCATCTTTAACTCTCGCATTGTCACTTTTTGCTATCCACGTGTACGTTCTTTAGAGCATGGGCCAACGATTTACCCTTCTAAACTTCTACCCTTTCTAAACTTCATATTCTTCCTTGAACCTTACCCATTCTCTTCCACTTTCCTTATTTTATTACCATCTTCGCTGATAACTCAAGAGAAGCCATCGTCGAAATCAACCCTCTAATTTGAAGTTAAAGATAATAAAGCTTATTGGCTAAATTAGTCATGTCTCACTCGGATGTAGCCAGCACAATTTAACGATACACAATAACGAAACGTGAATACCAAAACCTTCGTATCTCAATAAACCTTCGTATACCTTAGATATATCGGATATATCGTTATAAATTTAAATTTACAAATTGCTTTTTATCGCGCATCTTTCTCATGAGTCCTTCAGAATCCATCACAGACATTGCATTATCCCAAGAGTTATCAGGAAAATTGTAAAATAAAAAATTAATTTTCATGGAAACAACCAAATAATTCCAATCCTTGAGATGCCATTATTCATGGTGACCAGTATCTGCGATAATTTCGACGTATGACCGCCCATCGTTAGATATGTCTAACCCTTCGGAATTCGAGAAATTTTCAATATAATTTTTCTGCAACTCCAACTCATTTTTACTATGAGATACCAGCTATTCCAGAACTTTTCGCCAGATTGATAACTATTAGCATATGCCAAAATATCTACCGACATGTATAAAAATACAAAGTTATTTATTGATGCTAACGTTGACAATAGTTTTACCAGTTTATATTACAAAGCCACCGCAACGATGACAACGGAATGCAAAAACTAAAAAAATAACATATGTGATGAAAAGTACGAAACTTTTCCTTTGTTTCGTGTGATATTCTTCTTGACTTACCACTTTATGATCGTTATGCATTTGTTTCCATACTGTTTTTTACTCACCATCAATTGAATCTAACTGTCTTTACTATTATAATATAAAATGTATTAATTCTAAAACTATCAAATGAGCCTTTTTAAACTATCTGGAGGAATTTCTTACACACAACGTTATCAAATCGCCATTTGACTTTACGAGTTTTAATATTATTTCCATCCAATGTATTTATGTCTCTCTTATTCTTTTTTGTTTTTTTCTCTGAGAAATAAATGACCTACCTACTGCAACGGTTCATAAAACCTGTGGAATAATTTTTTGGTATATATTATCATTTATTTTTGGTATATATTATCATTTGGTATATATTATCATTCTATAATACTATAATAATACTATAATAAATTCGATTTTAACATGACGGATTAGATAGCACGAAAGTACCCCATAAAATCGAAATTTTGAAGACGGCCTGTGTAGATCTTCTTTAACATTCTTGATTTAGCCGGAATAATTTCGTGGGTCTTGTATAAAGAAGCAATCCGGAAAAAATTCGTACTTGAAACAATTTGTACTTCAATTGGCTGAAAAACTTGCTGGCGATTTACAAGATATGCAACACAGAGAATAAGAAGATATACATGGAAAGTCAATTAATGTAGGCCCATATGTGTGAAAAAAATGTCAAATAAGATATTGCAAAGAAAACAAGACTATAAAGATCTCTTTCAAATCCAAAAAATATGTGTGTGACAAATTTTTCATTCAGGAATCAATAATTTGCAAAAAATGTGCTAAATATGAATAATGTTTATTTCAAAATTCAGAAATAACTGGAAATTTTGTTTTCTTATTTTTATGCATTCTTTTAATTGAATAAATACACAAATCACAATTTGGAGATAATTATATCATTCACACACCAATTCCGCTATATAATTCTATATTATTCTATATTCTATATAATTCTATAATCTATATTCTATATAATTCTATATAACGCTATATATTCATTCCGCTAAAATAATGCCGCTTAGTCATTTGACACACAGAACATATGAATGTTATTTAATCTTTCTGTTTTATAATAACTATGTCGTACTCTCTTAAATTCTTCCGTTTTTCGCTGAGCATCATCTTCTTTGCAAACGGATCTTCCGAATTTTACAAATAGAAATATTTCATCGTTATTGTATTATCGTAAATATTTTAAATATTAATATGTAATGTTAGATTATTTATATATAATAGTAGTATAAATGCAAAAAAGTTATTTTGATTTCTTCACTCAAATACATTAAACAATCTTATTCAGTACGTGCCAGTTAATAAGACAGATAATTTGAGAAATTTTAAGAAACTTTTGCGACCATCTAATTTACTTTTGAATTAGTTTTACATATAACTCAGAATTTCGATCTTCTGTGGAATTATTTATGTAAAAAAAAGTTATGCGCAGTGAAACAATATACCCAAAGTATACAAATTCATTGAAATTAAACAATGTTGCTGAAAATCATATAGTTCACTGTGAAAAGATATATAATAAAGTTATAAAAAATTGAAAACGACAAAAAGTATATGCAATTTTAAAATCATTAAATTCCACGGAACATGGTTTGAACGATTACGTTTGAATCTTCCTACAATTTGCTGGTATATTGTTTATTTTGTAATGATGAACCCAACTCGATATAAATCTTTAATAAATGAATTACAGGTAAACGATCATACTGTTGTCGATTAGACAAATTTTTGTTGAAGAGTAAGTAAAGTACTCCTTATATTATTTATTTATGTTTGTTATTAAGTAACGTTTTTTGTATACTGTATTAACTCTAGTTAAGTTATTTTCAAAAATTGATTATGAATGGACAAAAAATATTGGTGGAGATGGTAAAATCGTAGAATTAGATGAAGCTAAAGTAGGCGAGAGGAGGTACAATTACTGAGTTGCGTCTTTCTGTTTTCGCTATCCATGCATGTACTTTGGTTTATTCGTCTCATTATATGTCATAATACTCAAAATAAATGCAATATTATTCAATAATTATGCAATATTATAAATGCAATATTTTCTTGTTAATAACTTGTTAATAAACGATAACCGAAGATTAAGTTATAAGAAAGATGAGCTCTATAATACACGTCAAGATCAAGGTCATCGGAAATCTATCCCCTCATCTTCATTTTTACCAAACATAAATCAAGAAATATTGAAGGAAATCTGCAAGTCCCTGCTGACAAAATATACCCCAAATCTCCAAAATATTATCGATCAATAAATATCTGGCTTTACGATCGGTTCCATTTTTTATTTTCAGAAAAATCAATAAAATTGATGCAGCAATTAATACTCCAAACATAACAATCCAAACAGACTGAGTGGAAGTTTATAAAAATAACATTTTTATTATTCATAAAAGTTAACGCATAAAATAACAAGAAATAACAAATTTGACTGCAAATTTTCGTACTAAGAGGTAAGATGATTTATAATGATTTCCAATGTAAAATTTAGAATGACATAAAGTTCTCCTAATATTCTACCGATTATACTGTCTAATTCGCTATTCTTGTTTATAGTTATGAATGAAGAAGTTTAAAAAAGGAAAAGGAGAAAGGAGAAAGCAGAGACAAATATTGTTAAGCAAAAAAAGATCTAAATATTTTACCTCAATCATAACAGCTTCCATAATTAAATTCTGTAAATTATCTTTGATAAAGAAAATTTGGAACATCACTTTATTGATTCCTTTCTCTAAGCTCCAAATCGCTACATCATTA